TTACTCGTCTACAACTCAGAGTTTTAAAGTACAAGACAAAAATAAACGCTTACAAGGATCAAGACAGCAGACGTTGCGTGGCTCAGGTCTCTTTGAGCGAACGCTGACGCGGCACAGCCGCCACAAGCTCTATTATGAAAATATACAGCCTCACTAGGCGTACACCTAACGTTTCACTCAATGCGCTAACCGCACTAGGCGGTGTCTCCATGTCGATTCCGAGAGGCACTTCAATGGCTGACTGCACGAGTAGTTGCATCACCTCGTTGCATTAGCAATCTGAAAAATAGCTGATACATCACGCGCGAAAGAGATACGACTTGCGCGTAAGTACATGTCGTCCTACTGTGTGCGCGGATTTTTTTTCTTTCCTGGCTATGGCAATCAAGCAACGGGCAATGCATAGAATAGAATCACTTAATGTTGACGAAAAAAATGATCGGCTCTTTTGCAGTAGAAAATGAGCGATTCTGGGGGTGGCAAACAGCATGTAGGTTTGATTGAAGAAGTTTGAGAGAACGAAAGAGGGGCGAGGAGAGGTACACATGAGGACAACTCAAATCCTCTTGTGGATGTGGCTGAATACTAGCACGACAAATAATAATGAGTTCAAGATTTCTTTTACCTCAGTCATTAATCCAATAACCTTGCGGGTGACTTTTCGCCAAACATGCTGGCTCCGAACCTTGGTTTGAGTATACTATCTAGCCTTCGCAACACTATTTTAATTGGTATGTTGTCATGTGATGTTTTCTCCCTCTAATTACAAACATCTAGCAGCGTGTTGGTTGTATTGTGTGTTGCACTTTTGAGGGATCACGAAATCCATTCGGAGGAGTGAGAAAAGTTAGGTGAAATAGCGGAACACATGGCCACGGACGGCAGCACAGCCAGCGGAGACATATAAACTTCATCGTATTGGACGAGAGATGAATCAGTGGTGCGAATGGATGCAATTCCTTGCGCAGAACGTTGGGAGCTAGAGAGATTCGGCGAGATACAAGGGTGCGGTTCTGTCCCACGTTCACGACTTGAAGAAAGCTTTCGAGTCTGTTGGACGGAAGCGGTCATCGAAGCCTTGAGCAACCACGGCATTCCAACTCTGAGCGTAAGTACCTTTGTGAGCACGGAAACACAGTTGTACAATTCTAAAGGAACGTCGTGATCGACGTGACGAGGGGATTCGCACCAGGGTGATGCCCGTATGTACTCGATGCTCTCTGTTGCTCAAGCGAAACTTGGTTCAGGATAAGACATTTGGATGTTGAATAGCTTCAACGGGCCGCGTAATATACGACCCATTTCGCTTTGAACAATGTTTATTTTGCATAACGCCGAACGTCGAACAAGCAGAATCCGCAATGGCCGGGTAAGAACGGGACTGACGGCGATACGACTGGAAATAGTATGTTGAGTCAAGATAATGGCAAACGATTTACCATGACGTCCCTATGCACGCCTCTCGCATCGATCGGCTCCGGAAAACACTTGCTTGACGCTGTTTAGCGATGAATCAATCGGGCTCAATAAGTTCAGGGGCGGCCTATTCTATAAATGCCCCATGACGACCCAGAATCATGGATAGCGATGAAGCAGAAAAGTTAGAAGCAGCGGAAAGAGTAGCCATATCACCAGATTAGAGGCAGTATCCAGCCTGCTCGGCCAGAAGGACAAACAAAGCTGTCACATGGCGCGGCAGTCGCATGCCAGCCTACTGCAGCAATTTCGGCTAGTAATACAGCGCCAATCACGTACGCCATCGACCAACACGAACGCGAAGGTGACTTCTTCCGCCGTATCCGTGCGTGTCAGCCCTTCTCGCAGCGCCCGACTAACTGTCGCAAGGTACCCAGGGGGGGTGAGAAGTCCCAAGACCACCAGTATGGAGCAGCGTGAAAACATCGAGGGAGAAGTGAAGAAACGAAAGACAAGACCACCATTTCGATTCTGCAGGCTCTAGCCCTAACCTATACCATTAGGGTTGGACTCTTCACAGGCAGGAGGAGCATGCGTTCAACGCAATTCAATGCGCTGTGAATAAGAAGATCCTTGGAGTCTCCTATACACGCAAGCGCTAGAGGGAGTCCTAAATCACAAACTACACCATGGTCGAATATTAGGTGGGGGCCAGCGTCACACTATTTCGTGATGACCATTGGATCAGAGCGGTTACCGACTGGATTTGTCGGAACTTCAACGGAACACCAGGAGTACCGCCGCCCAATGGTCAGACTTTTTCACGAATGCTCCCAACGAATGAAATGAAGGACTGCGTGTCCCTCAAGCGAGGGGAGCCTACTGAATTACTCTTGTACTCTTCCAGGGTAGAAGAGTGATCAGAGGATCACTTTCCGCAACCGGAGATTAGTCTCGACTAGTGAAATGGCGTGGTGGGCCGCTACCCGACGGGCAGAGCAGCGAGCTGATCGATGGCCATGTTGCAGGCGGGTTTTGCATCGAAGTCGCACCTGACCGTGTGCATGAGCCCGCAATTTTAATCGACCTTTTTGGGCGATCGAATGAGCAATCGATTACACCCCACACTGGAAATTGAGCGTCACTAGCACCTCAATCAAGTTTCACAATTTCTCTCTGGTCTTCTTGCCAAGTCATGACGCTGGACAACAACACCCACCAACATACTGGTGTTTATATACAATGCGTTCCAATAATGAACTCACGCACCGACATTTCTGTTCGAAAACTCGAGGTTACTTTTTTATTTTTTTCGTTTGTTCTTTCTGCGATAAGTTTACTGTTTTTGCTTATCGATCAGGCAGTCTGAACAAATTCATCGGCAAGTTCAGAGTTTATCCGCACGAAAATCCATGTCGAAAACACGTAAACAAAAAAATTTTGCCCTATCTTTTCAGAGAGATGTTTAATTTTTCTTTTATGTTCAAAAAAGTTATAGCAGCAGTCTCTGCTTTGTTTTCTTTCGTGAGATATTCATTTGTGCTTTCATGAAAATGGTGGTTAGTTGCTATTTTGATCTTAGTTTTCACCTAATTGTTTTTTCATATGGATGAATTATATATTCGTTTGGCTTGACGAAAACGAGTTGGTAAAGCTGTAGCAATAAGAGACAAAGAATCGTCACCGTATATACTTTTGGCGCTATAAAAAAATGTGCAGTCAGAAGAAAGCTCCAATAAGGTTAACAATTTTACCTGGAATCCTGTAGGTTATGGAACAACGAAGAGCTCTGGACGCCCATCCTCATCAAACCGTACTTGGAATTCCAGCCTTCTTTCAAACCTAAACATTCAATGATCGTTTGGACGTGTAAGAGTTGCGATGTCATTCTCGACGTTGAGAGTTCAGTATGGTGAGAGAGTTTTTTTAGGAATGAAGAAATTTTCTGTTTTCTGGTGCTTGGTTAGTTGTGCTTGGATTGTATTTTTTGCTCGAAAATGTAGCCACGTCGACTGGAGCAAGATCAGTTCTTCTGTCTGTTATGTCTTATTTCTGTTTACTTTTTTTCGAGTTTTTCCCTTCTCATGGAAGGGTTTTCTTTTTCATTAGACTCCTATGAAGCGAAAAACTCGAAGAAAACGCAGGACAGACAAGGACAACAGACATAAAGAAAATGTCTTTCTCTCAGTCGATGTGGGCCCGTGCACACATTTCAACTGCAAAAATGACTCGGTTGTCGAATTGAATTCCTTCACAAACAAGGTCTCGCCGATTCTCCACTGAAGAACGATCTCGGAAGGTCCTATCCCAGACAGTGTCCATTGAAAAATTAAATTTGAAAGAAGAGTGAAATTCCGGGCAGTGTTGCAGTAAATTCGAAACGTGTCTCATGCATTCGCAGTTTAACCTTCCACAAAAGCAAAGAGGATCAGGTTTCTTTGGTCCGGGGAGACCCTACAGTATTATTTTTTTGAGAAATTGTGTCACTGCGATTGGAGAGTCTCTTGAATCATTCTCGCACATTATGCCCTGTTGAAGCGATTTCCGTTTCTTGTTGTTTGGTACAGATTATCCATTTCTTTTCCAAAAAGTTTTTTTGAGCTGTCTTGTTTTCTCTCACGAAACATCTAAGAATGAAAGCCTGGTCACTGCAAATCGTTTTCATGAAGCTAAAGTGAATTTCAACGATACAACTCGGGGTGGCTGTATCATTTCTGAACATAGGAAAATCGACCGATCTGAAAAAAGGTAAAAATTTTTAGTGTTTTCGACATGAATTTTTGTGTCGATATCTGAACTCGCCATGAAATTTGGCACATTTTATATCTGGACAGTTTTTCAGAAGCTTTATAAACTTTGAGTTTTTGAACAAATTGTAATCGTTGTGACTTGTGATCATTTAGCTTGAAGCGCAGGTGTAAGAGGCGTATTTACATTATAGGTTTCTGATATCTCGCAAACTTTTCTTTTTCCAACTTGCTAAGAAATTGGTTCATTATCGGGGGGTCCCTTGCCATCTGGATAGACTATATATGGCTCGACAGTTGACTCAAATAACGCGGATTCCAGAAAAAGTGCAGCATTCAATCGTTTTGTCAACATGCACTCTCAGTATAAAAACTCTGTACATAGAGCGGTTGACGTCTGTCAAAACGTCTCATTTAGTTGTGCAACCGGGAGACGAAGCATCGTTCCTTGCAGCACGTGCTCCATCTGCCCCAGCGCCTTCGATTTTGAGGAGCATCCTTAATACCTCATCCGCGCGTCGGACTCTGTATCACTGGAACGATAGCCAGGAACGAAGACTTCGTGCAGAACTTCGAAATTCACCCGCCACAGATATTCACAAATGCCCATAACGCGACATTGTTTACTTGTGTTATATAGCAAAACCGAACCATTTTTTACTCCTGTTAACGACCAGTTTCTCCTCTAACTTGGTTGCGATCTCTGATATTGGAAGCAGAGCTGACACCACTCTTCACCTTAGCAGATAAACACACCCGATAGAGATCAAAATAAAAACCAATTATGCAAAATTTACAAGACCGATCGCCTGGCTGAACTGTGAAAAAACTCACCAGGAGCCATTCAACGTGAGTAATAATAATGTTAGCATTGGCCGTGACATCAGCTTTGATCACATGCTCGCTGTGGTTAAGAATAGAGGCCAACGGGAGCCCCTAAACAGGAATTATTTTCATTGAAGAGAGGAAAAAGGAGCACACCTGAAACTCACATTCATACTAAGCACACCACTCTTCACGCCGAATGGCTCTCGGGCGGTGATGCTAAGATGGATTCGGCCTGTTCGACGTCGAGTCTCACCAAAAAGCAGGTAGCTTGCCTGAATTGTCAAAAGATAACCCTAAAATTTTTGAAAGATGACTATGTTACTATAAAATTGTCTAGATCTGGTTATTCAGTCATACTTCAAACTTCTACTCGAGATTATCGCGACACTGAAAAACCTTTAGAGGGTGTAAGGTGGCAAATGCGACTTCTTGGGAAGCTCTTTAACATAAAGGCCTGGAAAATCCTAGTTCTCGAAGATAGGTTCTTCGTAGAAAATTATGTTTAAGAAATGTGTTACAAGTTCTCAATAATCACATACCCAGACTGTGTAAAAGCTCCGTAATAAAACCCTCATCAGATGCCGCCAGGGTCTGGCATCTTCGTTGTTACCGGTTCTCCAAAAGTCGTCATCAATCGCTAGTGATCGTGCGAGCTACCCCTTCCTGCTCGACTTCACCCACCGCAGCTCCTCCGTCGCTTCGTGCTAATGATGAGCCCGATCGACTCTCCTGAGCTAGCCCAAGGCATGTATCTAGTTACACATTCTGATGCTACTTTCTCGTCAGTCCCTACATCTGCTTATTCTGGTCAGGCTGTATGACCGCTGCCAATAGTCGAGGTCGGAATCCAATATTCAATAGCTTGGTCAGTCACTCACTGACTCCAAAGAAGACGAATTGTACTTTCCGTGTCGGACTACTCTCTGTCTGCGCAATAAACGAATTCTATTCAGATCAACATCTCACACTTCTACTGCATCCTGTTCTATCGATCCTTTTGTCTCTATTCTCCAAAATCGAACGCTTTAACCCGATTCTTTCATTGCGTCGCCTGATACGTAGCCGCCCAAGGCGCACTTCTTTCCATGCCCCGCCTTTGGCGCCGCGGACCTACCTTCGATCGTCCATAGTGTGTGGTTTTCGCAAGATTAATTCCTCTTCAAAAACTGATTCCACATTCATGTTAAGAAGGAATGCGAGAATTCCCGGAAGGATTCTTTCTTTAACCAAGCTGTGATGCGAAGTATGCATATGCTAAAATTAGAAGTTGCTGAGAGTGCAGAGCAAGGTACTCCCTGGCGGACCTCGGCGGTAATCCCTCGAACAGCAGAAGTCTTTCAAGGGTGACGGCCAGGGATCCATCTTAGAACGCATAGCCTGTGCCTGTAGTAATATTTGTTGCTTCGAAAAGATGAAAAATAAAGTCATCGATGTATGGTGGAGAACTTGCTACAGGTATCCATAAAGGAGACAGATGCTAAGCGACTATCTACACTCTGAAATAATGTAAGTGAAGTGGGATTAAAAGTGCTTCAGTAGGCTAATATTTCAGAACTAGCCTTACCTCCAACTCCAAATCGATATTTCCAACAAGTTGCGCAGAAAACCGAACGGGAATATGGATCTATGAAAAACAATGTGAAGGTTAAGGAAGAATGGGTTGTGCGCCATAAATATGGTAAACAAGTCTTTCATGACACTCTAACCACAATTCACAATGGGACACGATGAAACACTTGATATATTAATAGTGAATCGAATTGATAGAACAGCTGCAAGATCGTTAGGATGAAGCTGCCCTGATACCAATTAAAGCTCATGGACGCCTTAGGTACACTTTGATCGCAATAATTCACATTTTCCACGGACCAAAATTGTTTAACCCTTTCAGCCCGGAATTTTTTGCGTGGGAACAAAAATTTTTATTGTTGTTTATTATTTGTGAGCACATAAATAACACTATAAGAAAATCTCTCAGTATTGTGCTGTCCCGGAGCCTCATCAGGACCTAAATGTTATAAAACACAAAGAGGCACCAAAATTTATTTCAAAAGAGTCCCAAAAGTTCAAAATATTCAAAAAACTCCAAAATTCCAAAAAACACGAAAAGTTTCAAAAAGAACTCCTTTGAAATCTTCTGCTATATTTCGGTGTTTAACACCTTCTTCAGGCCTGAAATACATTGATTTAATCACTGGTAAAACAATATGATGGTTTCCCGAACCCATATATGTACCTACATGTGTATGCCTCAGCCAAGGATTTAGCTGCCCTTACGGGAGCCGCGCCGTTGGAGTGGAATTAAGTGACTCACCCTCTGCTTAAATAGTAGCGGACGTACTGTGACGGTCATTGCATGTGATATTAAAAAAACGTGACATTGGGCACGTAGTTAATTTAATAGTTGTAGAGCGTCACGTAGTTCGTCCTTACTATTTATTTCGGGTGATAGTTTTCTTATTTCTAATGCCTCCAATAGCCTCCTTTCCACCGGGTTCCCTATGGAGCGGTGTAGCACCTTAATGGTCAACGAAGGCGGTTTCCATATGTGTGCTTTGTGGTGCGGTGCTTGGATGCATGCTTTGGATGCACAAAAAGATGGGAAGAAGTAGATGTCGCGGTGGACCAAATATTGAGGAACAACGGCTACATATGTAAGTACACATGTTGGTAATATTGGCACATGGAGACCACACTCAACACCAGGTGGTGTTCCTATGGTAATACCGCATCTGAACCCATCGCATCTGAGTAGGGCACAAAAAGTTAATGGTGTGGTCAAAAGGTCAAAGCTCCCCATACGCCTTATATCCGTCCACCACCCAATCTCAGACATCTACTGACCTATTCAAGACCGTATGAAGAAAAATGTGGCAGGAGGAATTGTGCATACTGCAACGACAATAAAATTTGCCAATTGAGGGGTACCGTATATTTGATAGAATGCCAAGGATGCGGACAAAAGTACGTTGGGGAAACAAAAAGGCCTCTTTACAAGCGTTTGGATGAACACAGAAGGGCGTTACAAAAACCCAGCCTCGTATCCAAACAGCAGCTTCTCCAAGCACCGCACCACAAAGCACACATATGGGGAACCGCCTTCGTTGACCATTAAGGTGCTACACCGCTCCATAGGGAACCCGGTGGAAAGGAGGCTATTGGAGGCATTAGAAATAAGAAAACTATCACCGAAATAAATAGTAAGGACGAACTACGTGACGCTCTACAACTATTAAATTAACTACGTGCCCAATGTCACGTGGTTTTTTAATATCACATGCAATGACCGTCACAGTACGTCCGCTACTATTTAAGCAGAGGGTGAGCGGTAAGTCACTTAATTCCACTCCAACGGCGCGGCTCCCGTAAGGGCAGCTAAATCCTTGGCTGAGGCATACACATGTAGGTACATATACAGTGCGTACCAAAAGTATGTGGACACCCTGGAATCGATTCTCAGGGGTCAGCTAAAGGCTTTTATGTCATGAAACCTCCACCATTCAACTCCTAGTGGTCGATAACCTACAATGATATTTTCGGCAAAAGATTTCGTTCTAACTTAGCGAACTATTTTTCATGGAAAGTTTTTTCTTTGTATCAAAATTATGTGGACACCCTGAGGCAGATGAAGTTTTTGCATCGATTTCCTAACCTATTTTTACTTCTCCTTTCGTTACTTATTCTGGCATCATTCCTCTTCACTGCAAGCGTTTTGCGTCAAGCGCTACTAAAAGGTGAAGCTAGCTCCCTAGAACAACTACAACTGAAACATCGAACAAGTGGTTGAGTAGAGCCTAGGCCGGATTTTCCTAGGAAACCGCCGCTGATGGCACTAGAAGAATCTACGAACCGTAATTCGTGCCGAGGCAACCACATCGAACAATTTGCAGCTACTCCACTGTAGTGCACGAAAAATATTTGTGCACTTTCATCGCGTTTCAATTAAAAGTCCATTTTTAGCATCATAATTACATTGCTAGCATATCTATGGCACATCTGCCGTGTACACATTGAAGACAGAAAAACTCACCATCTCCCCAGATTCCACACATTGCGCTCCTACTATCGTAAGCTCGGAACGAAGTTCGTCATTCTCATCGACAAACAAAACTGCTATTGCTTCAGTTGTCTGTTGTTCGTTACGCTTGAAATCCAGTCTAAACATGGCACTTATCGATGCTCTTATAGTCAAATCTGCTATGTCAGCGCTCTGCTTTCCGGAGAGGTGTTGCACATATCAGTGGAACAGAACACGTTATTTCCGAGTGCTGGCTAGGAAGTCCGCAACGCACGGCTATGTAAAAAAGCTTAGTACTTCTCCCTCACCCCTCACTCACAATCAGCTCATCTCACACCACCGACAACGACTTGTTTCACTCGCATGCTCTCCCTAATAAGCTACTGCTCGCTGCTGCTAAAGTCCTAAAAATTTCCAATCATTTTTCTCATTGAGCATTAAGATAGTAGAAAAGTGACTACTCAAAATAATGTGAAGAATCCATCTGGCTAACCTAGCCAATAGATGTGCTACTTCCTCCCAAGTAAAACCTCCTGTACTGTGAGTCGAGCCCTTCGAGCGATAAGCGCTCATTGCGGTAGTACAGCGCGCTCTGTTTTTGCTGAGGAAAGTATCGTATCCATTGAAATTGTACTATTGTCTATTTCTCATCATTCATCGGCTGAAATTAGCTCGTGGTCACCTCTGTGGGCGAGACTTTTATTACGGAATCTGCACTAGCACAGGATAAAAAACGCTATATCGCATATATAGGGCGCATAACATTAAACTCTGACTAATACGCCCACGATCTTCAGGACGCTGTACTGTAAATGAAGATGTTTGATACCAGTCCGTAACGCTGCATAAAACACACCTAAAAAGGTAACCACGCACCGTTCTGTAGCTAATGGTGCGTCTCATTTCTGAATAGAGGTACGCGTGGCGCATCACAAGGCACAACCTACTGCCAAATATTTTTCCTTTCAATTCGTGGAAGAAGGATCTTCTTTTTGGAAAACAGTATGCACTACACAGAAAAGCAGCGCTTACGGCAAGACAAAAGAAAAGCTTTTCAATTCACAAAGTAGTTTAAATAACACAATGCATAGTTTGTTCATCTTACCGAACGGACTCCACTCTGCAGTTGCACGTATTCTTCAACTCAAGCGTAGTGGCAGCAATTTCCGCGACCAGACAGTTCACGCGAGTTGTAGCCGCATTCGCTACCAACTCACCATCGGAGGCGGCAATCCTTAAGTTGACTTCACATCTTTGTCAACACCTCGTCTTGGATAAAATAACGTACTTTAAGGAACTGCACCCAAATTCGGATCGTGGGCGTTGTGATTGTAACGACGGCGTGTGGTCAAAGTTGTACTCCAACTGACCGAACATTTTGGAATGACGGTCGCCCAACTCCAAGGAAACCCGTGTGATCTAAAAGCATATAAGTGAAGGCCCATTTTACTACTAAGTTGAATGAACCAAGCACTACTGCGGGTAAGGTAGAGTTGCCCACTTATGCAAAAAAATAAGCCACCCTCCGGCTCGTAGAAGCGTGTCGGTGGTACAGTGTCACACTTGCTGAATCGGCCGCACCGTAGCACAACGTCCCACGCACCAAGCCTCCATCACTGCTATTTCTCTCGCCTCTTGATTCTCTTCGGCACCCAGTCTCCATCACAACACTGTCTATCTCATAGGAATAGAGGACTTTGCGATGGATTCATACCTTTGAAACATAGAAGAGTAATACACACGGTGCCTCTACCAGGAAGGTCTTTCAGGGCGTGCCAAGCTTTTTGAAAACGGTCTTTTGCATGATATAGGGGCACATGCGGGAACCACAGAACCATGGTTAATTTTTCCTGAACGGCCCTCTGAATACCAGAAAAGGGGGTCCCTAGTTCGATTCCTCGTGGTGACAAATTTTTGCATTTCGAGTTGACGTTCAAAATTCGCGCAAAATGGAGTTAGCATGAATAATTAGTACCATATTCATGATTAGGACCGTCAGTAACCCTTACAAAAAGACTTTGACTTAAAAATTGGTGTAAGAGGTGTGACACCAAGCAGCCCCACTGTGTGAACTGAAAGACCTTTCCTGGTGAGAGAAAAAACAAGACAAACGATCAAATATAAGAGAAAAGCCTCCCCCGCATTCACAGGAGCTTTCTTCCTCTTTTATAAAGGTTATTCGGGTGAAGTTACACGAAGTTCGCAGCGCGGTGGTCGTGTCTGAGATCTGGAGTGAATTTTGGGGACACCCTCAGCGCCTTGTCACGCCACTGATAGTGTGCCTTCCACCGCGAAAGCGCCACCGTCGTCTACTTGGAAACTCCTGCCCTCTACACAACCCATGTGACCACTCCATGTATCACGTGATCACAGTTTTTGTCTCGAAGGTTTCCAATGCGCTAATTGTTTTCCCCCTGACCATTCCCTTGGCAACTATGAGTCATTTCCGAGCTGAATTTCAATGGTTTAGATCGAGAAATGTGCTTACAGCTACTTGCAAACACCTTCAGCGCCAATATTTGACCAGACCGATTCTTCTAATGAGCCACGAATTCACCTCCTCACAACCGAGAATTGGTCTGTGTAAAAACCTGAGCTATATTTCATGAAGTGGCTCAGGTATATAGGAAAGCGCTGGTTATAAAGGCCGAGCAAGTGTCTTTCTCGCTGCTCGAAGTACGCGGCAAGGGCCTCATTCGAGCTTTCGGGTGTACCCGCTATTACCCGAGACGCAATGTCTATTCAACGAGAAGTGTGCACCTTCTCCGATTCACTTCTTGGCCTATTGTCGCGCTTCAGCGCCCAGCACCTCTTAGTCGTGGCACAAACCGCCTAATAATATTTTTCCCCACATTTCCAAGCGGAATAATCCCATGTTGTAACCGTAAAATGCACCCTTAAAACAATGACTCAGTTGAGTGAGCAATTATCTAAGCACTTTCATAAAACAAAAACAATATGAAAACAAGTCACTCTGCGACAAAGCTTTCTGCACCCATTGGTATTTATAAGGTGAACTGCGATGAACAGACAGTGGAAGCAACAATCACTCACCCATAGCGTTTGCCCTTTCTGAATCTGCGCTGTGGACAGGTCGAGCATAACAATTACGGTGGTTTTCTTTTGAGGCTCCAGTGTGATCGACTGCCGTGAAGCTTGTATAAATGGCGCGACATCCGCAACCGTAGCGGCGGCACGGCGCCGTCGTTCAACATCGCAGCCGATGACCACGGCCGACAAACTAAAATTAAGAAGCTTCATAGCGACACTTTTTGGTTTGGGAAGCGGCAATGAGGACGTGATCTGGCATATGATCATTACCGTGACAGAAAACTCATACGTTTCGGCTACTTTCGAGTATCAAGAAAAGCAATGTATTCTCCAGACTACCCCTCATGAAATCTCAAGAACTTGCCGGCGTGAACTGCGGTGTGGTGTGCATTTCATTTGCACAACACGATTCATCTGACGCCAAGGGGTTATGGTAAAGGTTTGCCGACCTACTGAAGTTACATTCTTGTAAGCAATAAAGCCTGCCCCATGGGACGGCACGACGACTAGAGCGGCACCCGCCGCGCAAAAAAAAACTGCCCCGTTCCTTGCACGCACAGTAAAAAAGCACTGCGCTTGTCGCCAGCATGTTTAAAAATGTCAGTGTTTGTGAGGCTGTCTTTCATGAGGGTTCGTTCTCTATGTGCTATCTGGAGTCTGAAAAAGCAGCGATGATAGCGCTTTCAGATTGAATTAAACTCATGATCGAACTAATAATAACTTTTTTCTGTATTCCGGACATCAGCCTTTGTACAATCCTCTCCCATGGATGTAATGTTTCTTCTTTATATGATGTTATTTGCAAATTACGTAATGCTTGTAATCGAGCTAAAATTAGCAAAACCATGCAAACATTTGAATGCACAAATTTATATAATGATGAGGAAAACAAAAGTTTCCAAACTTTCAATGAGTCATTTTTAGAAAAAAAAACCGTATTTTTCTTTTGCGTCTTTCGACTTGAGGAAATTGTGCTCCATATCGTATTCCACGCTTGACTTTACATATCAATTGAGGCCAATTCAGTAAATCGCCGCGCTAGATCAAAACTAAAAATTTTCCGAACTTTTGACCGCTACTGTGTCCAGATTACGCTCGCCAATTATTCACTTCACTCTCACGAAAAACATTCTAGAACTGAAGCGATCAAAAGAGTAGCGAACGTGACTGAACGCATAACAACGCCTCATCGGATGCACCATGCATTTTGCTTCCATTCAGAATCGTGTGGCATTTGATTGTCATTTAACTGCGGTGGACGCACTGGCTGACGCGTAGAAATCTAGGCCTTGGCCTGCCTGGGGTGCATTTGATCCTGAATTTTGCCTACGGATCGCAGTAGTAGTGATAAGTGGCACCACTTGTCACTGCCACCTTCGCCCATACATTGAAGAAGGAAAGGCCAGTCTGGTTTTCACTAGTACCGCCTGTTGTAGAGAAAAACGTTGCGTACGTTGCAGTTTGAAAGTAGTTGGCAAGAGCTTTATTCGCTTAGATGTCAAAAAATGATAATACTTTGGAAGCCTTCGAGCACTGTCATCCTCCACGGATTCATCAAAATTTTATAACGATTGAGCGACGACTAGATTGCTTCACAAAGAACATCCAGTCCAATTTTACAGCAATTATCTCTCCAAACGATTATTATTAACTTGTGGGGAGAATGTAAACACTACCTTGTCTAACGGTTGACCCGCGAAATCACTGCATACGCCAAACCAATTCCAATTTCACAAACAAGTAAGATTCCCAGTGAAAGTAGGATGCGTGGCGTGAAACGAGAGACTTACAGGAGTCACATACTGATGCTTCCAACTTTTTATTTTGCAATCGGTTAGTCTGACGAGTACCGAACCTTCACATGAACAATTTGAAGTCTACAATTAAGGGGTCAAAAATCAAGTTTAATTCAATAAAAGACTATTGAGACTTGAAAATGCCTCCTAATCAAGAGCATGATAAATGTATGGGGGTGAGGAGTAATGCGAAAAAGAAAGCAACCGCCGCACAACACTCCACCTTAGGACGGGAGTGACGTCGTTTATTATCAACAACTGCGGTGGGCGGCGAGAGCCGCACGGGGAGTAGGTGGTTGCAAGGCGTGGAAAACCTGTACATTTGATTGAAAACAAGTATATGATTTCCAATTTAAAGAAAAGATTCGAAACATGGTCAAGACTGAACGCGTTGATATCAGCCGAAAATGGCAGTTATTCATTTCTGGCCAGTAAACGGAAAGGGAACCTTAATGTTAAGATGTCTACAATGGGTCCAAAGACGAGGCGTCTGAACGAGAAGCAACAGCACCCCAGCATTGTAGCGTCAGTGGAAAAAAATGGAGATTATTTCGAAAGGTTTGTTTCGAAAAAGTCACTTATGCAGATATTGCTTACTGTTTCCGAAAGTAGTTATCATCAAATTCAATTTGCCATTTGCATGACTAAGCATAATTTACGGTATGGAAAGGTTTCAACTTTCAAAAGGTGTTAGCATCACGATGCATGTCATCGATTTTTATGTTCTGATCGAAGTTGATTAGTTATAAGTTAAAGATGCTGAGAGTTAAAGACAAGTTAAAGATGCCCAAACTAGTACTTCAATTCAAAACAACGCAGAGGCGTTGATCATTTCTGCATTTTTAAACATGCAAAGAAAACTAGAGTTTACTTGCCAAAAACATCATCAGGTAAACCGATCCTGGCCTCGATGGGTAATGGAGATGGCACAGACACTTCCATGAAGACGCTTCGTGAACTTCAGCCGCGAATGGAGGGAAGAAGGGGGAAGGAAAGAAAACTCTCGAATTCATCCGTTCCGCAAAACATCACAGTTCTCTTACCTTTACCGCGTTTTTGCCTTTACAAACACAAATTTATCGCTTCATTGCTTTTCCTACGTGGAACATCTCAGGTGACTGTGCATAACTTTGAGTGTATCGAAATAAACTCTCGATTAGACCCTTAGGGGAATTCCATTTAGTTAGAAGCGAAACAAATTCTGAAGGGATTTCCGGCGCCTCCTTCCAGAGATAGGATAGCATACTCAGCACAGGTGTACACATCGAAGTCAACCTATATCACTCCAAAAAATCAAAATGAGGAGGGACTGGTTTTGCAGCCCCTCAAGTTTCTCCCGATTCCACTGATATTGCAAAAGTGA